GCTGATGTACTGATTCAGATAATTTTCATCAAGCTACAAAACAAACACACTAAAGTTTGGACATCTAAATGCATCGATCACTGCTTTAAGAGGTCAGATTGTGCCCTCAGCCTTAAGCTTACATTAAATTATTTTTTTTGTTGGCCACTCCAGGGCAGCACAACAGGCTACAATATTGATATGCACGGTGTTATCACCTCACAATTTTGATGTGGTGAAAATGTTAGCACAAAGCTGCTTATTCACAGCGAGCAGACACAAAAACAACCTCATTAATTCAGATTCCTGCTTGTGTACTTCTGATGAGGTAAGTTCAATATTCACTCTTTATTTACCTCTGCCTTTCTCTTCCCACGCTACTGTGGGGACATTTGTGTTTGGCTGCTAAATACTCATTTGTTTTGTCACACACTTTGTCTGTGTGCCATTTTACGATGGCCAGGTAGAGTGCAGTGGATTCATAAAAGCTTGTTTTGATGAAGAAAAGCCACCTGCTGTGCCTGAGAAAAAAAAACAGGTTCCTGCCAACCAGGAAATTGAAGCAAAACAGTGAATTGCGTGCTTTAAATCTAAAACAAACACCTAAAAGACTCGAAAAAGCTCTGTACAGTCAAATGATAATTCTGTACCTTTGTGATCAGGAGCGACCCCGGTACCATTATATATAGCTATCGATCCATTGTCAATATAAAACTATTGATTTAAGTGGTGTAATATAAGTATAGGTTAGTTTTAATTACATGCTTGTGTGTTAAGTGGCCTATTCAATGGTTTGCTGAGCAGAAATGGAGCAACACTAATGTCAAGTGTCAACCATGATTTAACATGAAAAACACACGCCTAATGGGTCGGCAAAGCATAAAGGGAAATAAACCTCAGATGAAAGGAAAAGGTGTCAAACTCACGACTTGATCAATTACTTCACTTAATCATGCTTCACAAATTGTCCAGTGGGCTTGGCCTGTGGTATACAGGAATTTTTGCAAGGCTCGTAAATAGAAAAATGTGTCATGTACGTGGTATAATTAGAGCAAAACAGATAAAATGTCAATATAGCACAACATGATTGTGTAGCTTACTTGGCCCTGGACTGCTGTGCATGTGATTACATGCTCATAAGTGATTTTTGGTAATGATAATCTCGTCACGGTTGCTGGGCAGCACGGTGCTATACATGGTGACACCAGAAGGAGGTGGAGCATGTTTGAAGGCAAATAAATTGAAGTTGGCAACTGACCCATATAAAACGACAAAGCTAGCAGTAATGTTGTCTAATGATCCTTTCCATGCTAATTAGAAATGACAGATGGAAAAGCCAAACTTAATTAATGTTATCTCAGGTAGACAGCACTAACAATTAAAAAGGGCTTTTTAGCGACACAGAGGTTGTGCTACATAAGTGAACTTTACATACTCGGAATCAACAGGCGCGGCTGTTATTTTCAACACACATGAAGTTGCACTTTAACTGTTACCTCAGGATTATGAAATCAGTGTCGTTGGATGCACTGAAATTGTCAAAGAAATGAGTGCTCCTAGTTCCCAAACTCAGCACTCCTTTCACTTAAATATATACATTTTTTTCTGTCACAAAACGTCTTAGAGGTGAAAGAGAAATATGCTAAAATTGACTTATCTGTGTAGTAAGGGGATTCTGGATTAAATTATTAGATTTATCACGCGCAGTGCACTGGGTGAAAAGTAGGGAAACACCTGAGCCTTTCTGCTTTCTGCCAAATGCTAGTTGGGATAGGCTTCGGGTCCTGTGACCATGAAAAGGATTAAGCTGGTGGGGAGAAAAAAAAATGACTGAATGAATGAATAAAATGATACTGAGATACTGAAAGGATGGATTTCAGGCACCATAAGATATCAAATCCTTCACCGGACTGCCATTCCACAGAGGGAAGAGTTCCGTTAAGACACTCTCTCACCACACACACACACACACACACACACACACATGCGTGCACACACGATCATCCTTCAAACATGTATATGGTGCACACAACAGTCATATTCTATCATACATTTGTGTTCACTCACACACCCACGACACAAAGCACACACACCCTTACACATTCACACACAGGAGCATCATATCTCTGGTGTTCACCTTGACTTAGCAGAGGGCTGCCTTCATAAATCCCTCCTTATCTCGGGTCTCAAATGCATCCAGATATATGACCGTGGAATCTGACTGAAATATGTAACACTATCAACAGCGGTGATGGGCAAACCCTTCCTCACAAATGCACACAGTCATGTTTCCATCACTTCAGAGGACATGACTGACATCAATTTCCTGAAGACTTATCCTAACCCCAACCGTAACCGCTATTGTCTCAACCCCTGAGCATTCACGGTAAAATGAAATGGTATACATAATGAGGAACTGCTTTTTCTCCCAAAAAGAGATGCGGGTCCCTACAACATTAGCAACACACACACACACATAAATATGCACGGACATTGGAGGAGTTGTTGAAACAAGTGTTATTTTCCCAGAATAAATTGTAGTGTTGTCGTTAACATCTCTGTAGTGACACTGTAAATTGCTAGCAATTGCAGAAACAGTGGCTCTGGTGCTTCAAATGTCTGACGGGAGCTAATTATCAGCAGTGGATTAGTTCTAAACATGACTCAGGAAGTTGTGCAGTGTTGCATGATCAACATTGGGACTTGCGTTTTTGTGCCCACTTGTTTGTGCACATTTGTGATTTCACTGTGCATCAAGAACATTGCGTCAAAGTATGGAAGTATTAAAGTGAAAAGGCCTTAGGTGAGCTTCATGTTAAGGAACATCACTGGTAACAGAAGTTGGTTCTACAGCTATAACTCACACACCAAACAACATTCTTCACATTAGAGACTGGAGAAGATGCATCACTTCAAGAGCTCACACCAAGAGCAGGCTTATCGTTTGGCTGTTATTCACAGAGTTGTGCGTCTATGGGAAAACTTCAGGCACAAACAAACTGAACTGTAGCGCAATAGGTATTGGGTGCTTATGGAAGATTGCAAAAACGCAAGATTTTTTTGCCGACAGCATCACTATTTTAATCCCCCACCCACCCCACTTGTTAGACTTGGCTCAGTGATGACTTTGAAATCTACTACAAAATGAAATTCAGGTTGAAAAGTTGCCATTTCCGCACAGTAGAAGGGATCCAGTGCACACTGCAGATGGTGCTTGACACGCTTACAGGATGGAAATGGAGTGTTGTCCAAACGTGGCTGGAGCACTGGGAGCAGTGGAATGCTGCACAAGGTGACTACTCTGAAACGGTGGCAGTCAAATTCAAATAAACAGTTTTTGCTCTTAATAGAAACATATTCTGAACTTTTTGATTGCAACTTGTCTCCTGAGTTTAGTAACTTTGAAAGTAGGAGTCTCTTCTTCTGGTAGAGGCATTTTCCACCAAGCTGACAAGTAACAAATCAGTTTAAACAGAGAGAACAAGCTGATGTCAATGATCCATCAAACTCTACCAGACAGCATACAAGCTGATCTTATTAACTGTCAAAGTAACAGAACGCTAGTGTGATTAGTAACCCGAACATAATTACTTTTATTAATTAGTTTTATACTGTAATCCCTTACATGACTTTGAAAAAGTAAGCACATAAATCCAGTGCAAAAGTCTTACTGCCAGTTGTGATGTGCACAAACTGGCTCCTGCTAATGTTCACTTACAGCTTTCTCAAGTAGACCCACGTATGACGTGTTTTGGTATTTGTCTCCTTCCGTGTGCCTGTTTGTATGTACATTAAATCAAGCAGTGATGATGTATGTAGAAGATGCAACTGTTTGACAATGAAGATCATAGATTACATCATGTACCTTTGACTGTCATGAAACACCAGTGAGTAAATTGTACACGTGTACTATAAATCTGCTGGATGGTGGTGTGTCTGGCGTCTTCTACTGTCCCTTGTGATTTATGTGGCCCATGTTGTTATTATGTGTATTGATATGTACTATTTACTAAGTCTTTTGTTGTAACTCTAAAAAATAAACATAAAGATTTACTTTTATTCCTATTCTAAATACAGCATATCTGTTAAAATATGTGCATGATAATGTGTTATTGGTGTCCTAAAGCCATATCTTACCATATTCAATGTTCCTGCATGCATTAGTATACAGACAACGTGTCAGACAACCAAACAGGCACTTACATAGGGAACTCCTTTTAACGTCCTTTTCCCTTAAGGCTCTTTCCAACAACTCCCTACGCAGAAAGAAGTATATGAAATGAAGAGACACGCATGTGAGTGGAACAAGGTCGGTCAATACGCCTGGGAACCCAAAGCTTCGAGTGCTAACTGGCTGATTGCTGATGCAGGTCTTGCTGAGTATCTTAAAAACCTGAAGCATTGTTAGAGGAATGGAAGGGAGAGAAATAAGGTGAAAGTAGACTGAAAAGAGAAACAGAAAAAAAAGAAGATAAAAGACAGAAATTAGATGCTTTAAACTTTAACAGAGGCAAGAAAGTCAGCCTTAAAAATGGAAGGTTAGAGTTGAACTTCAAATTTCGGGAAAAGTTCCAAGGGCAGAGAAAGGGGGGAGATATGAGAAAGAGGTGAAAGTCAGAGAGCACACAAGGAGAGCCATTCCAGAGTGCCAGAGCACCTAGGGATAAGAAGAGCAGGAAAGTAGGGAGAACACAGGTAGAACACGGAGGTTGGAGGCCCGGTATCCAGTGGGACAACCCACCTGCAGAGCAAAGCCACTGGGCATTGACACTGCCCCTTCCATGATTAATAGGGTTGTCATTTATGACAAATGCTGCACTGTGTACGTGACCTACTTCAAGATAGCAGAAACGCAACATCCCTCCTTCTCTTGCATCTCTTTTCCCCTTCTTTCTCCCTAAGAGAACCATCTACTCCCTCCAACAACAACTCTCTCTCCCCTGCTTTCTTGTGGCTGGAGTTATGCCAATGTTCTGTCTTTATCTGGGGCTATAAAGATCCTCTGCACTGACAATAGGTACCTGCCTGTTCCACGGGCTTGCAGAGGTACTGTCCCAGGTAGGACGCTGTTGACTCTTTGAGACAATGAGGTCCCTCACCGACTGACTGCATTCCCGACTGACATCAGCGAGGCAAAAACCAGCACAGATGTTCTTTGCCAGAGTTCTACACCTTGTTGCATCCCTGAGGGGTAACACACAGACAGTTCACGGAAATGCAAACAAACAAAGCAAAAACTAATGAGAATAATAATGATGTACTCGATGGGTAAGCTTAATTTACATTATTAGGCACATTTGAGATTGCAGATGATTCATAAAGTGCTACGGTGAGCAAGTCAGGCGAAAAAAGAACAATTTGCGCACACCTAACCTTTTATGTTGCAACTCCCTGGAGAGGCTATAGGAAGTAAATACCTTACTACAGGTTAACTATGCACTCAGAAAAATCCCCCTCATTCTCCATGCACACTCACGTTGATTCAATGTGCTTTCCATTTCACCTCTTTCATCATTTTTCTTCTATAGCAGGAGTACATTTAAGGCGCTCAGCTATCAAGCAGCTCTTTCTATTGTGGCTGTCTGTGTTTGCTGCAAGGTTGCTAAGTTCACTCAGAAGGTAAGCTCACTATCAGACTTCACAACTTTATATAGAACCGCCTGTCGTTTCTCTGCCTCCAGTTTTCTTATGTAAGCACGACGACGGGAAAATTAAAAAAAAAATGCAAATAATAGCATATATAATGTTGAACTTTTTATATTAAGAAACCCTCCATCTGTGTACAATGATCTTTCCGTATGTTACTACATAGTGTAAAAGCAGCTTACATCATCGAATAATGTGTGTGTTTTTGTGCTGAGGACCTTTTGTTCCGTGCAGGTTGACAGACCCTGAGGGAGGCTGATCTCAGAAGGACTCCACACAGCCAGAGATATCAAAACTAGACATAGATGCAGAGCTGCGGCATACAGTTCAACCTCTTGGGACAAAACTCTAAAGTTACAGGCCGAATTTAGGACTCGGCTTTGTCTATAGGGCACATCGTAAGGTTATGATTTCTGAGCAAGACGTTCATCATGGGTCCAGTTTTGTCAGTGAATCTTGGTACCAGAACAAAGCTATTATTCAGTTATCTTTTAATCAATTCCACCCAACTATTCGACATTCATTTACCAGCACAGGCTCAGAGTCAGCTGTTGGCACCGACAATGTATGTTAGCCAAACACAATGGGTATCAGGGGACACTGTTTTATGCAACTTTTATTGCATTTAGGGCAGAATCTTAATCTTTAATGTGTTAGATTAATGGTTTGTTCTTCCTGTGATGACATTTTACAGCTTTTAAAATGCAATTCTGGTTTACTAACTGGGAAAAGTGCTCAAGAGCCCTGGACCTGCAGGAGCCTGAATGTTATAGGTTTACTGTGTGTAAAGTAGTCTGTGCTACCATAATTAAACGTTGTTTGGGGATATGCAAACCACAGGGTGAACTGAAACGCCGAGCATTGTGCTTCTCGGTTGCATTGTTATAAATTCAATTTTTGATTAATACAATAAGTGCACAAAACCAAGTTTTCCAGCAGAGAATAACTGAAGTGTGCAGAAAATGGGTGGAACAACAGCCCAGACACTCTTTTTTTGCCCCCAGGGCCCCTTTGGTTTTTTTTTATCCTGCAATCTCACCATTTAGAGTTGCGAGATGGAAACAATTTGACCGTGAAATCCTTGTCACCAAATAAAAGGGGTCAAGTCTGGTTCCATGCTCCGAAGACACACAGCAAGGGCAACTGCCATGGAGAATAGCTATTACTACGTGTGACACTGTGAAACACATAGTATACAACTGTTGATGCTTTTGTGTAGTGTAATTGCTAATAATTGTTGATTGATGTAGAGATGCAACTAATGTGTGTGGCCCTAAATTATTTCTAAAAGGAATAAAATGACAATGTTAATCACAGATTTAAACTAAACTGTGACGTCAGTGGCTGTTTTTCTCTACAGGTGTCCACTTGTTTATAAAAGTAGAGGCTGTTGCACTCCTTGACAAAAAAAAAAAGACACATCCGGAGACCCTGGTAATTTCCTGAAAACTGTCAAAGTTAGAGCACACATTTTTACCATATTCACTGTTTGTAGCACAGAAACATAGTGTTAGTCATATTTGATAAAGTAAGCAAGGGAAAACTTTGCTTTGCTGTCAACATACATACCTTAACATATGTAATACGCTGGTGAGAACATAAGATATTCCCACGCTAAGAAATATTAGCTTAGGCCAAAAAACTTTCTATGAAGTTTGCTGAACTCATTACTGTCAAGGCAAGATGGGTCAGGGCAGTGGAATTAAACTAAAAAGGGGTTCACATGCATGAGTTGCTCTCAGAATTGAGAATGTTCCATTAAGATCTGATTCTGCTGTTCACCAGCATGTGGCGCTTCCAATTAAGAAGAAAAACAAACTGACACGACACAGTCATTATACTGAAAAAGTAACTGCATTTGATGGGCGACCTCGCTAATAGACAGGGTGAGAGCTGAGTGATCAAGTCACTGCTCCTTCATATGGAGATGCTATTATGATGCCCCAGATTAGAGTTTAGCAACCTGACCTGGGTCCCAACAGAGTGGGGGCTGGATTGTTGGATTCTGGAAGCTTTGCTGAGTAAAGATTTGGGGCGAGTTGGATGATTTTCAAGTGGAACCTAATAAGAAACCCTTCCAAAATCTTGATTGATCGCACTCTTAAAAAGTGCTTGTGCAAAGAACTGGCCTGAATTAATCTAGGACTGTTTGGAGTGGTGTCGAGTTTAGCTGAAAGAGATGGTGTGAGTTTACTAGCCAAGTATGTTTGGCTGTTATTGGGATACTAGTGATGAGTAAGGCAACTAATTCTTTAGAGTCTATAGTTGGTAGTTATGCTGGTAGTTGACCGTATTACTAATCCTCTGATTGATCAGCAAATAAGAGGCTGCAGTACCATATTATCTCAAGGTCACTGGCTGTTGTTGTTTATGTATGAGAAGCTTTAGGCCAAAGCAGAAGTCTACAAATGATTCTTCCCACTGGAGGCGGCACGGAAAGGTTGGATAATTGTAATTGTAAAACGCCAGTTAATCTGTCTTGCTCTTTTCCTGTTAACATCTTGTAATAGGAGTAAGTGGATACATTGTGGAGTGATACATCATGTTTCTGCCACATTTGGAGCGTTTCCTGGCAGTCCCGTTCTGTAAGTGTGGCAAGCACCATCTTTGTTGTTTGCTGGAGCTCCTCCAGCGTGTCAGAACGGCGACCCTTTAATGATACTTTTAGGAAAGGAAGAAATCTATTCGCCAAATTTGGTAAGTAGGTTGGATGGGAAGCGACGGTCATGTTGGTGCAGCCAACAAACTTGAGCGTTTTCAATGTGCTGGTATTGGGCACATGTTGGTTCTCTCTAAGTGTTCCTCCTAAGGCACCTCAGGAAGTTAGACAGTGGGTGTCTGACAGTGGGTGAATACATCATGGTGCAAAAACCCATAAATGTCCAACTAAATGACAAGCATCTTCTTGGTTATGCTGCTGACCTGATGAGTATTCTTCAGTCTTGGGTTCTTCCACTGAAGAATGTTGTTTGTTGTAGCAAAGGTGTGTCTGCAAGTAGCCGGAACAAGACTTTGAGAGATCGTTCCAAACGTGGCAAGAGTGATGAGAGTTGTGTATTGTTGCACAAGCAGTCTACTTCGAAGGGAAAATTTAAACCTGGTATGGTTTTTCTTTTTAAAGGCCAAGTCTTGCGACTTTTTTTTATCACAACTTGCTTGCCACAGATGCTCATCAGTCAAAGCAAGCCTAAGTGTGAACACCATACCTTGAATGTTGCCAGCTGTCAGCTATAGAGCCTGTCAGTCATCAGTCTCACTGTCTACCTTTCACGCTGTTTGAATTTTGTCCCATGCAGGCACCTGTGGCCCCGCCAGTTTTTATCTGCATGCATCTGTCTTTGTGCGTAGGTGTCTGCACACACCCTAACACATCCCCCCGTCAGTGCATCTCCTTGCTGTGCTTCATGTGTGAATGTTACCTCTGTAAATATAAATGTGCATCCTTGAGTTGAGAGTGCGACACTCAGTATGACTCGGTGATCCATGAAGTGTGTGTGAGATATTCTGGAAGTGTGTGTGCGGCGAGGGAAAAGAAAAAAAAACAGGAGTGACAGCTCATGTCACCCATTTCACTGGACAGTGGGGGCAGATCAGAGACAAAAAAAAAAAAACAACCCAGAGATGAGGAAGGCCCTTGCTTTGCTTTGCTCACTTGAGGCTGCCTAGAACATGACAAGTCCATTCACACATCCTGGAAAGAAAGAAGAAAAAGAAAGAAAGACACACACACACACACACACACACACACACACACACACACACGAAGGAATACATTGGTAGAGAAAGAAGACACAGAAAGGGACGCAAGACAGGCTTTTAAAATAAACATTAGACTTTTATCGACTGCATTCATTTTCTAACCCCTAACATCAGGGCCTATCTTCCACTGGGGGATGGTGGGGCTTGTCAATCGTATTTCCTCCAAACAAGTACCAACTGAATTTTGTTGAATGTGATTTTGAAGCGCTGACTGGTGGAGCATGTTGTAACCAGTGTACAACCTGAGAAGAAGATCTGCAGACACCGCTTAGGCCTACTGTTGAAAGGCTAACAAGGTTTTATTACAATAAAAGATACAAGACTTGAACATTGTGATCAATCACATTGCCTCATCTTAAAAATGAACCTTGAACAGAAGAAGAAAATGTTAATTATTGTTGCGGATAGATATTTTCAGACTCCAAGGGTGGTCAGACTGGTAATTTGTTACATTCACACACAACCACACAATTGCTCATCCAAGCAGGCATTGATCGATTTGACATCGGACACTGGGCGACATGTCATCATGCCTGTAAAGCTGAAATGACTTTCATCACTTGCTGAGGACACTGCAAGGGGATCTCCTAGTCTCTCTGTGGTCAACCACACCTCGATCACGACACATCATTGTCCTCACCTTCATTTTTCTCCCCTATTCCCTCACTACTCTGTCATGTGCCTTTAGTCACTTTATTTTTCTCTTA